ACTAGGAAAAAGACACACCATTCATTAAATGGTGCTGAGAAAATTGTATAGCCATATGCAAAGAGAATGAAACTGGATCCTTATCCTTCACCATATACAAAAATGGACCCTAGATGGACTAAAGAAATCTAGGAAAATCTAGGAAAAACTCTTCTGGAGATTGGCTTAGACAAAGAATTTATGACTAAGACCTCAAAAGCAAATGCAACAAAAACAAAAATAGACAAATGGTACTTAATTAAACTAAAAGGCTTTTGCATAGCAAAAGAAATAATAAAGAATCAATCACAACCTATGGAATGTGAGACAATATTTGCAAACTATGTCTCCAACAAAGGACTAATATCTGGAATCTATAAGAAACTCAAATAATTCAGCAAGAAAAAAGCAAACAATACCATTAGTGGGCAAATGACATGAACAGACATTTTCCAAAAGAATATATACTAATGCCCAACAAACATATGAAAAAATGCTCAACATCATTAATCATCAGGGAACTGCAAATAAAACCACAATGAGATACCATCATACTCCAATTACAATGAACATTAAAATGTCAAAAAACAATAGATGTTGGCATGGATGGAGTGAAAGGGAATGCTTATACACTGTTGATGGGAATGTAAATTAGTAAAACCTCTATGTAAAGCAGTATGGAGATTTTTCAAAGAACTAAAAGTGGATCTGCCATTTTATACTGCAATCCCACTAATTGGTATCTACCCAGAAAAAAAGAAATCATTATGTCAAAAAGATAACTGCATTTGTATATTTATGCAGCACAATTCACAATCCTAAAGATATGGAATCAATATCATAAATGCCCATCAACTGATGAGTGGATAAAGAAAATCTGGTGTGTGTGTGTCTATATACATATATATGTATATTGACTACTACTCAGCAATAAGAAAGAATGAAATAATGGTTTTTGCAGCAACTTGGATGGAATAGTGACCATCATCTTAAGTGAAGTAACTCAAGAACAGACAAATAAATGCCACATATCCTAATTTATAAATGGGAGCTAAACTATGGCTACATAAGGGCACACAGAGTGGTATAATGGACATGGGAAACTCACAAGAAGGGACAGATGAAAACTACAATGTACATTACTCAGGTGATGGGTACACCAAAGGCCCAGATTCTGCCACTATACAATATATACATGTAACAGAATTCAACTTGTATTTCCTAAATCTATCAAATTTTTTAAAAGGAAAAAAAGTTTAAATAAATTTTTTAAAATGAGTATTTATCATAGTTGAGCTGTTTATGACATTTTATACCAAACTCTCTTCATTTCAAATTTATTTTTATGTACAAAGCATATTATATTACTTTTGGGGTATTATATTTTTGGGGGGGTATTCTTCTAACAGTGTTGTCATATAGATATACAATACAAGACACATAAGTAAATTCAAACTTTCTAGTCAGCACATTAAAAAATTTAAAAAAAATACATGAAATTGATTTTAATAATGTTTTTATTCAATACAATCTTTCCAAAATATTATTTCAACATTTACTAATATAAAATAAACTATTAATGAGATATTTTAATTCTTATTTTATAGTAAGTCTTTGAAAACTAGGATGTATTTCACACTTAGAAAACATCTCAATTCAGACACTAGATTTTTATCAGCAGTACTTAGCATATATTTAGATTTAATAAATTTACCATTAAAGTAGATACACATACCCATGTTCCAAATAAAATTTTTCTAATACCTTAAGTAATTATCAGCCTTAAAATTTAATTTAAATGGATTAAATAGAATTTTTTCTAGAAAATCATATCTGTTTAATGGCTGAGCAGATAATCAGACAGATGAAAATTTTTCAAATACTTACTGTGTACTTAACAATGACACAAATAGTCCAAGTTTATAAGAACTTAATAATCATGTAGTGAGACAAGTCCAAAATAGATAAATGGAGTGGGCAAATGAACAAGCTAAAATATATGGTAAATTTTGTGTTCCATGTAGACATGATAAAATGTCTCAAATTGGAAGAAGCAAGATGCTCTCAGTTTGCTTCAAAATGTGGAGAAAATTGATATTTTTTTCATGCCTTAAAAACAACTCTACCTGGATAAGGAAAATGTGGTATGTATATATAATGGAATATTATTCAGCCATAAAAAGAATGAAATCATATCTTTTGCAGCAAAATTAATGGAACTGGAAGCCATTATCTTATGTTAAACGAGTCAGACACAGAAAGACAAATATCACATGTTTTCTCTTATAAGTGGGAGTTAAATAATGTGTACACATGGACGTAGAGAGGGGAATAATAGACAATGGAGACTCAGAAGGGTGAGGGGTGGGAGTTGGGTGGATGATGGGAAATTACTGCATCAGTATAATGTGCATTATTCAGTTGATGTCTACCCTAAAAGCCCTGACTTCACCACTTTGCAATCTATACATGTAATGCAGTTGTACTTGTACCCCATAAATTTATACAAATTGAAAAATAAATAAATCTTAAAAATTAAATTATGTTTTTAATTTGATCACATTGTATGATGTCTTCCTTATTGTTGTAAATAAAAAGAAAAATGTTATCCTAAGATAAAATGTTATTTTTTATATTCATTTAAAAATGACTAATAGATATATGCTACAACTATATGTATAAGGAAACTTATAATTCATATTTAATTTAAGGTAATAAAACTTATTTTTACATATTATACCACAAGCATTTATAATTTTAAACAGTAAATATTTCTTGCCCATTCACAGATAAAATGAGAAATTACTTTACATTTAAGGACAACATTAACATTTTATTCAGCTATTATTTGCTTTGTTTCATCTTTCTAAACATAACAAAAGTCTTTATTTTATAGGATAATTTTAGATACCCAAATCAAGTTTTTATCACCAGAATTCACACAGTAAACCAACACTGTGATAAGAAATCATTGTGAAGTTGACTTCATATCATTACAGCAAAGAAGTAATCAAATAGAACCATTTGACAATCACTAAAGTCATATTTGAACTTAGCATGTTACAATAATGGGAATGATGACTAGAAATAAGAATAAAAGGGCTAAACTTGTAGGAAATAATTCATATTTAACTTGAAAAGACAAGATTTAAGGATAATAACCAAAGTTTACAGAGACTTTTTGTAACAAGATTTCCTGAACAATCATCTTGAAGATTTTTAAACTGTTGTCAATCAGATGGTCACAAAAGACAGTTGCTTTAAAGGACTTTAGTGGCAGGAGAGCTTCCTCAGTGGATGAGTGGTTCACAGGGCAACGAATGGCTAAAATAAATCCTGAAGTTTCTAGAACCAGAGATCTTTGCAATCGGACTCCCAGCAACCTCAAACATGCGTGTGAGTTGTCATATACCTAAAAGACTAGACCCTTTCCATTTATAGCTACAGAAATAAATCACTATATAAAAGAAACTCTAGGCCAGGCACGGTGGCTCACACCTGTAATCCTAGCACTCTGGGAGGCCGAGGCGGGAGGATCCCTCAAAATCAGGAGTTTGAGACCAGCCTGAGCAAGAGCGAGACTCTGTCTTTATTAAAAATAGAAAGGAAATTAATTGGCCAACTAAAAATATGTACAAAATATTAGCCTGGCATGGTGGCCCATGCCTGTAGTCCCAGCTACTTGGGAGGCTGAGGCAGAGAGATCGCTTGAGCCAAGGAGTTTGAGGTTGCTATGAGCTAGGCTGACGCCATGGCACTCTAGCCCGGGCCACAGAGAAAAGACTCTCTCTCAATAAATAAATAAACAAACAAAAGAAACTCTCATAATTTTAGAAATATGTGGGGACAGGAATATCCTAAACAGGTTCAGGATATTCCAAGCTTTGAGATTTGATTAAAGTTATTGCCCCATTGCAGTTCTCATTTCATGCATGCAGCCTTCTTTTTGAGTCAGTGAGTCACATGTTCCTATGAAATTAAATGAACCCCCATATGTTTTTAGTCATTTTGTAGCAAAATTTGGATCTTTCTATTGAAGACATTGGAATTTTCTGATTTATTGACTTAGTCCAGATAGGATTTCTCAGCGACTGGTGGGTGAAAGGTCACTTGTGACACACAATAGTACTAATTCAGGCACAAACAATGGCCTTAGGGTAGCTAAAAATATGTCCCCCTAGTTAGATACTATCATTGCTTTTATAACTGTTCCTGTAGTAAAGGATAATTTGAGTTTTTATTGTTTCATTTTACAAGTGACCAATAAATAATATATATCCTGATAGGCAATTAAAGACAAGACCGCTAACTTTACTAGGAAATGTAGCAAAAATAGAAATATGAGAAAAGAACCTAAAGAAAATAAAATAAAACAGAATGATCTTGTGGCTAAATGACTTCTTCATTAAATTATATTCAGCTTATGGATAGCACTGTATATATGTGCTACAATTTGTACTGAGACTTGACAAAAATTAAAAAATAAAGAAGCTAATTTTTTTCTCTTTGCCTCATTTTCTATAATTTGGTCATGAGAGAATGAAGAAAAAATATTGTTTAGGGCAAAGTTTTCACTGTATCTGACCACCTAGGCATTTTCCCCCCTAATCTCTGAAGTGATGGAAAGAATCATTTTCACATGTAACAGAGGCAACTGGTACAGCAAGGAATACTGTCATATATTAGCCCATCCTGATTCTGAGCAGCTAATTTGAATAGCTAACTAATTTCTGCAAGCAGCCTCTTCCATTTTCTCAGAAAATGAAGGGATGCCTGGGTGGGAAGAGGAGACAGAAAAGCGGGAGGGAAAGACAAGCAAAAATGGAAATAGAGTAACTGCTGAGGCATGGCTAATCAGAAAGGACACTTCATGCATATTATGGACCCATTGTGATAATAAAATTGGAATCAAATTGCCTGCCAAACCACTTGAGACACTCCTCATCTTTAATTTTTAAAGTTATGAAGACACTTGACACAGAAGGGGATCAATTATCACAAGTTTTCGTGCAAATACTTACTTAAGCAATGCAGTGGGTCAGAGTCAGAAGGAAAATTGCAGGCTTGCAGCTATGTAATGGCAACTAATTACACCATTCCAGAGCCCCTTTCCAATGGTCTCAGTTGGCAGTAATGGTCTTGGCTGATTTATTTTGATTCACTTTCAGGGATCTAAAATTATGATAAATTTATGTATTTACTAAGACTTGTTTTTGATCATGAAACTACCAAAACATTAAAACAAAAGGAAGTTCTCCAGTTAATTTGTTAGGTACTCAAATCCTTGAGATGAGTAGTGTGATGCATTTAATAACAGAGTAGAGGTGTTCAGTCTGGGATAGAAGCAGCTTCCAGATCACAGTGCCCCCCTTTCAATGAGCAACCTTGAACATAAACACTTAGGAAGACAGGAATATAACTGCCCCCCGATATATGGAACAGCTAATAGATGCTTTACTTGCTATTAACAATAGTTTTGAGAACCTGATCAGGCACTGGCTTGAATCTGGATTATCAAAGCCAATTCAAGTTTTATTTTTTTTATTATACTATCTAAGATTAATCAGCTGATTTAGTAAAAAAATGTCTCTACTCTTCTTTTTTATTCCATTCCCACAAAGTCCTGTGACATTATTTCCGTAATATAACATCTGAGAGAGAGAGAGAAAAAAAAAAAAAAAACAAACTAGCCTAATAGACAGGGAAACTGAACCGAATTTTAGAGTTCAGGAAAACAAACCATTAGAAACTAAATGAGGGTTGTCAGACTTGTGGTGAACAATAAAAATCAGCAAGCCTCCAATTATTGGCCTATATTTCCTTGAAGAAAAACCTACATTTCTGTTGCCTATGTGAAAACTACCTAAGAAGACATGACACCTAAGTGCTGCTTCCTTTCTCACCTCTATTTCTTATTTCTTAGCAGTTTGCCCATTATGAAGTTAATTTAGTACTGGTGAATGAATTTCTTTCCCTTTCTGTTCTACTGAATGTATTACTTTAGTGTATATCTTAAAATTAATCTAGCACATATAAAAATAAATCCTTTGCATGGTATTTTCCTGAATTTCTTCCAAAGGGTATCGCCTTTACAGGAAATAAATCTTTGCATGTGAAAGAATCTCTAAGCCATTAAATAAAAATTAAAAAACCAACAACTTTGTATTCTCAGCCTGTGTGGTCACCTGTGTTACTACCTGCATGGAGGGTAAGCATGGCACACTGACCTCCATCACAGGCAGTGACTATGATTCCAAAAACGTAAAGAGATTACTTTCAACACTACATATGCCACCAAGAAGCTGATAAAACTTTAATGTCTCCTCCTCATTTTGCTGGCTTGAATCTAGTAGCACAATCTTGTTTTGTATCAATCCATAAAAGCATAAGATGAACATATTCACACATTTAACATACTAAATGTTACAAGAAATGCATAAATAGACATTCAGAATCTCTCCTCCTTTTTCTACTTTCTCTGAAGTTTTTATTTTATTTTTCTCTGAAAGTTATAATACCTAAGAAAAAGAAAGTTTGCACAATTTGGGGTAATACCCGGCACAATATAGAATAAATGAGTCCACTCTGGCTTCCTTGAATCCACATAGAGTCTGAAGAGGTAGGATTGAAAAGCTACTGTTTTCTATTGAAACTGGGCCAATATGGTTAGTAGAAGAAGTAGTTTTTCTTTCTTTCATCCGCTTTGTGGTCTGCTTGGGGGAGGGAGGCTGTTAGCAGTGGGATAGGAACTAACAGCATTACATGCTACAAAAAGCAATTGCCTGAACAATTTTCCTAAGCCAGAGCCAAAGCAAAGCAAATGCAATACTCCCCCTCACTTCTCTGTCAGCCGCATGAGAGTGAAGCACAGTGATCTCCACAGGGCAAATTCCATGACAGAAACTGAATTCTGTGGCCAATTGCATGGCGGCATGGGTCTGCCACAAGTATGGGATTTAAATCTTGAATACTACATACATTTTTTTCTTTCCAGGGACTAACAAAAATAAAGAATTTTAATTATGCAGGTGTATTTGTTTGATTTCATTGAAAGAAAACACAGCTGAAGAAAGATGCACAACGTTATTTAGAAATACTATCATATTATGTTTTGATATTTTAATATCAAGTTTAATGGAACGACGGCCAAAAAATCCCATCTTAAAATCATTCAATCAATGTTATACCCTTTAGCTAAAATAGGAACAAAATATTCCCCAAGACCTGACCATTGAATGTTGAGTGTGTTTCTTCTCCTCTTTTAGAATGTTATATATTTCAAAAAGTTATCTCTTCATTTCTAAAGAGATAAGAGGAAAATGAAATGGAAAAGTTTAACTGCCAGCTAGAGCTTTTATAGGTAACATTTAAAGTAACCACTTTTCCCTTAGCCATGCCTGAAAATATAAGTAAATTGTATTCATTGAATTCTAAAGATTCAGAGTACATATAATCAGCATGCACTAAATAAGAAACTACCTGCACTTAACTTCCTAGTTTTGCTTCTAGTTTTGAGTAGTTTTATTGTTTAAGTTTCAAATTCAAAGCTGCATAATCATGATAGCCATTATTTTGTGTTTTTATATAAAATCAACATTTTTTGTATCTTGAAATCATTCAGATTTATTTTCTCCTATTTATATTTTTCACACATAATACAAAAGCATAGCCTAGAGGTGAGTAATCAATGAGATTAAAAAATCATACATTCTTTATTTCATAAAATTATAGAATCTTAAAGCCAGAAGATAACCTTAAACATTATCTAATATAACTCCACTAATTTTTTAGATGAAAAAAACTTAGGTTCAGAGGAAATGAATGATCTACTTTTGATCACATGGCTAGTACATGGAAAAGCTGATACCAGAATGTTTAAACTTTCCATCTTGAAATATTTGTATTCTATAAGTTCCTTAATGGAATAAAGATGGAAACAAAGTAATAATCAAATAATAGATAATTGGGTGCTCAGGACAGACTATATATCAGGAAAGTGTTAAATAAAGGAAAAGTGCCTTAAAATAGTTGGTTCAGCCAAGGTCCCAACAGGAAAGAGATGACACACTTAAATTAGGATAATTGAAAGAGAGTTTATTAAATGAGCTATTTGCCGAGGTGTTGGCAGAGTATAAAGAAATGACAAGAGATATCACTAGAGTTCAGGGCTGAAAATAGCTAGGCTATTATTAGTCCTAAGCTTAACCTGAAGAAGGTGATATGGTTTCTGGAAGTCAAAGAGAGGATTCTGTAGAGAAAGCTACTTGGACGGCAGCTCTGACCTTTGATCAAGAAGCAGAGTCATACAATGTAACCAAAATGTCAAAAACAAACAAACAAAAAAGAAAAAAAACTTTTCATCAGGTGGTGGGCAGGCGGGAGGGGGGAGTAGGAGAAGGGTGTGTGCTTACATAAAGTGTGTGGTGCACCACCGGGAGATTGGACACGCTTGAATCTCTGGCACATGGGGGGAGTGAGGGGGGCAGGGGCAATATTCATAACCCTAACAATATTTGTACCCCATAATACGATGAAATAAAAGGAAGAGAAAAAAAGAAGAAGCAGAGTCAGTGGGAGGTAATCCTACAGGGTCGGAAGCAAGAGACTAAACTCAATGACCTTTCTCTCCTTTCTCTGATTTCTTGTAGCAGACTTCCAGCACAAGTTCACTAGAGGGTAAGAGGAACTCTTGGTATATAGATCAGTCTTTCTGGATAGGGCACAGGATGCGGAAGGGCACAGGGTGGATCCTGTTAAAGATAGTAAGGCAAACTTTATACAAGGTGGAGAGGAGCATGGTGATATGTGTGGAAACCACTACAGTGAGATTTTGCAGTGAAGGAGAGAGATTGGGCTCAACTCCAAATTCGGCATGGGCAGGTGGAATTTATAACCCAAGGAGCAGGGTTGGGGTCAGTAGATGGTTAACTGCTAAGAGAAAACATTAAGGTAAGAGTGTATTCTGGCCATACCAACCTAGCAGGACTCTTGCTAAAGGCAGGCCAGGACAATCAAACATGACCTAGGGGATGATGGAGGATGAGAACCCTGATCAGACCTTGAGAGTGGTCAGATATCAGAAATGGGGATTCTTACTAAGCTGACTTAACAGGGTTGTTGCTTAAATTCAATTTTATAAGGAAACAACAGATGGGCTAGAAGGTTCAGGAGCCTGACTGAAGTTTGGTCAAGTACAGAATCTTTGTTAATATAAAAGAGTAAATGAAGTTATGTTTCTGTAAAGAGAGACAAAGAGTAAGTCAGAAAGTGAAGGCAATATTGAGTCAAAGAGAGAGAAGGTTGAGGGTGCAATGTGTTAAACAGATTAGTTAAGTTTAAAGGGGGGAAAAACCCCTTCTATTCATGTAAACCTGTTCCAGTTGGGCCTGAGCTAAAGAGAGAGTTCTATTGGACAGCATTGATCTAACATATACAACATTAAATGTATAAGCTACATGTGAATATAGAGGATTTCCAAATTATCTGAGTCTCTGAAGTATATTCACATTTAATATGAAATCCTTTAGTCTTTCCCCAAATTTCCAAACTATCTGTTTTACCATTTTTCTTCTGATATTTCTCTCAATTTCTTCTGGTTACTTAGGACTTGATTTCTTTCACAGGAACCCTCAAGGTACATATACACCAAAGAAGAGAAATACACAAAGTATGTGGAACTTATTTCTCAATATTATCAGAAAAGAATATATCAGAAACACACCTTCCCAGGAGGGTGTGTTTGTCTCTGCCCCTACCATATATTCATAGGTCTTCTTTTTACCATTTCCAACTTCTTTCCAGATTTCTTTTCCAATCAAAGCGTTGTTATCTTTCAATACAACATTTACCAAGCTCATAGTTAAATATTTTTAATTCACAATTATGCTCTTATTTGCCCAGAGTTCTTATATTCTTGAAGATGTCATTGACCCCTCTTAGCCTCAGCTACTGCATCAAGAAAAAGTAAATAATTACAGCTTCTTTATCATAGGTTGCTAAAATCTTATTGGATAATCCATTCACAGTGCTACAAATCACAGTGCTACAAATAATAAAAGCTCTTTAAATGTTAACTATTATTATTATTGCTCTCTAAATAGTTGTCTGTGTTGGGCTGATGATTTATTGTGAAAGATAGTAATGAAGCAAGCTAAAGGGTCAAGGCTGCTCTA